TAGTAGCATATATCAATTTTAGATGAAAATTTTAAAATACCATACATTTCTATATAGAAATGATCTACATTACCCCTTATCCTTAATATTGTTATAAAGACAGTAATTTTGCCAAGCTTTTTTTTTGGTAATTGTATTAAATCCTCTAACATTATGTGTAGCAATATTTAAATGAAGGTCATGCAAGTTTTGCATAATTGTAGAGTTTGTATTAAAAGTGGTAACAATGTTGAAGATGGTAATGCAGAAGTAAAAATAGGTAAAGATTGTTGTAGTGATATTGAAGATGTAGAAAACAGTGAGTTTGGTGTAAATATTGTTGAATATGAGTTTGCTAAGTTGGAAGAATCATCTTCTGTTGTATTTGATTTTAGTAGAATGTTTAGATAATACCAAATAGCTTGAAATAGTGGAATAAAATGATTAGATAAAGGTTTAGGTTCAGATAGAAGGTAAACATGGGCTTTACTATAATCATTTTTAATAGAAATAGTTAAAGTATACCTACAAGCATTGCTTGGTAAGTAATCAAAACTATAAATATGTATAAAAAAGAGATAATTGTTTGTAGATATGGGAGTAAAAGAAGATAGTTATAGGCTAGAAATTTGTTGTAGCATGTGTAAAGTTGTATAGAACCAAAGTGTTTATTGGCAATAACAGTATCATTATGACCAGATAGAACAGTTTCTACTAGTTATAGATAAGTGTAATTTAAAGCATTATTTTCAAGAACAGATTTGGTATATTGTGTATTATTAAGTATTAAAGAATATTTTGAAGGAATAGGTATTGATGAATAAAATCCATAACCAGATCAATGTGGAATAAAGTGATCAGATAAAGGTTCTGATTCATTTGATAGGTGTATTAAGCACTCACTATAGTCTAGTTTAATTAATATTGTCTATATAAAGTTGTAAAGATTAAGTGGTATATAGTTGTAAGGATGTATGTGTTCAAGAAAGAAATAAAGAGTTTGTAGATATGAAAGTAAAGATAGGCCTTAATAGGCTAATCATTTATTATAGCATAAGTTTAGATTGACTAATGTATTGTATGATAAGTCTTGTGATGTTTTCTTGAAGTATGATAATGCAATGAGATTCAAGAAGATAAAAGGTTTCTTTGTAGATTCGATTACTGTATGCTCAGCTCTCACAGCTGCAAAAAATGCCATAGCCTGCTCTGTATATTGAGTCTGGCTGTCATAAACTTGGTTCTCTGCATAAATAGACTTTTCCATCTGTTTACTTATATTATTCTCTTCTAAGAATGGTTCACAAGAAGTAAAGAACATCATAATCTTAGAAGTAGTAGTTGCATTAATGTATTCTACAGAGGAATTTATTAAAAAAGAGTATCAGTAAGGAAAAGTGAATCTTCAAGATTTGTTGGTTCTTAGAAGTTTAGCTTGAATTTGTTTTGGTGAATTTTTTCTGCCTCTGGATATGCCTTTTCTTGAAAATGCTTAACAATTTCTAAAAAATTCATAAAGACATCTTTGGTGTCAAAGTAAGTTATAATATGAGCTAAGTAGTTTGTATCAATAATTTTAGTTGTAAAAAAGTCAATGGCTTGTTGTCAATCAAGTTTGTCAATATTATGATTTTGTGTAATAATGTTTTGATAGATTTTTAAATATTAATAAAAGTAATAGCTTCATTGTTTAGGATTTGTTTTAGTTTGATTATTGGCATATATGAACTTTTCAGCTTTGGTTGCAAGATCATCAAGAAATTGTATAAAGATTTTTTCTTTGAAAGTGGCTTCATGTTTGGCATTAATATAAAAAATTAAAGCATTAAGATTGGATTGTTTCCAAATTTCACTTTCAGTTTTTGAATATTCTGAATAGGATTTATTCAAAATTTTTTTAAGAAAATTGCTATAGTTATATATATATTGGTAATTAGGTTGATTGTTGCTAAGTATAGTCTCTTTTGCTTTTGTTTTTTCTTTTTCTTTAAGTTTTGTTTTATTAAGATGTATACAGTCAGAGTCAATATATATATAGATATGATAATTTGCATGTTAGATAGTCTTATTGCATTATTGTTAGAGATTGTAGAGTTTAATAAAAGAAATTTTAGTTAGAAAAAGTTCTTTAAGATGTTTAATAAATTGTTGTTAGAATTAAAATCTTAGTGTATTTTTAACTTTAGTTTCATTGAGAGATTCTATAAATTGGCAGTTGTATAAGAAAAAGAATTTTGTAAACCATTCATTAAAGTGATCTACTAAATTATTAAGTGATGGAATGTTGTATTTTTCAAGAAAAAGAGTTTTAGAAATATTAAAAAGAAGGTGAATATTAAATCAGTTGTCTATTTTAATATTTAGATATTGTTCTTCTTTGTCAGTTGTTGTTACTGATGAGCTAACAGTAAATCTTTTAGGTTTAAGTTTAATATTATTAGCAAATTTAGTGTAGTTAATAGATTGATAATCATTAGATAAATAGAGGTGCAGTCTGGCAAGATTAATACAAAATTGTAATTGGTTTTGAGTTTTATATAGAGGAATAGTAGCAGAAGATGCAAAAATTTCAGGATAATTAAGTTTGATAAATAAGATAGTAGTAAATTTGTAAATAAGTTTTTTAAGACTTCCTTTCAGAATGACAAAAGGAATTGTAGCTTCATGATCAATATCTGAATTGGTTTTGAAGGTAATATCTGAAAGAAATTTAGGTTGAGTTCTAGTTATTTGGTGAATAATATGATAAAAGCTAGCAATAAGAGCTTTTTTGTTTCCAGTAGCTAGCTTGATTTCTTTTTCTAAATAAAAATCAAAAAGGTGTTGTTTGAGAAAATTAAATAATTCACAAGAAAGTTGAGTTTGCAGTTTTGTATTATTTTTCATTTCAGTTGTAACTAAAAAGTTGGTTAACTAGTCAAATATTGGGTTTGTTTTAATTTTAGTATTAGAAGATAGTAATTGATTTTGTTAAGATTGTTGTTATTGTTTTTGTTGTTGTTGTTGTTGTTGTTGTTATTTGTTGTTTGTAGATATAGTATTATTAATATCTATATCTATATTATCATTGATTTGGTTATTGTCTAATGGTATTTGCTATTATTTTACACAGAAGTCTTGTCAGTATGTCAATTTTCTTGTTTTCCTACTCTAAATAGTACTCTATCC